CCCCTTATCATACTTTCCCATTGATTCATTTTGTCTCGTGATCTCATTTCCCCCCCCTGTCCCATTTGCACTATTTGTCTAATTTGTTCCTCTTTCCCCATTTGTCCCTTTATTCCTCTTTTCTGCGATAGTCCAGTATGTCCCCATCGTTTAATTGCCTTCTTCGTCCTCATTTCCATGATTTGTCCCACTTTGTTCTTTCGGTCCGTCCGCGCATGGCAATTTTCATTTAGAAAGAATATCAAACCCTGTGTCAACAACGCTTGCTACACATCGAGAGTAATGACAATTCTTAACTCATGAAGTGTTAAATATTTATATTTGAATAACTAGAAATAACTGAGAACATTGTATGTTACATGTCCTCTATTGTTCTCCAAGAGCTTTTTACATAAATAGCTATTATGTGTTTTCTACTAGTAACTATTGCATTATCAATTTCTTACATACACTATAGTACAGGAAGGAGAAGTATTGGCGTTACCTCAATAATGTGATTTCGAATATCCGTCATGAATTCTGAATTTTAATTCTAAATCTGAATTTCCCTTCACCTATAACTACGCAGGAACGTCGAAATTAAGATGTTTGTGTTCTTCTAAAGGTAGTTAAGATTTCTGAAGATGGGGAAGAGATCTATGTAATTGTGTGCCCTCAAATCGATTAGTATAAATTAATGCATGTGTCTCACACATCTTAAGTTCTGAGATTAATATGTTTGGTTGTTTCCATCGACGGAATCGATTTTATACGAACTGGTATACTTATCGGGCAGTGACTTTAGGAATGAAAACGTGAATAAGCTCGTTGAAGTTTTTTTTATAAATTCATCGTGTACGTATTTGAGACTTTTCATTAGCTAGAATTCTCGTAATAACTCACACTTGCTCCCATTGTGTAGGTTGACCTCTTTTTGGAATTTTCAAACTGTTGGAAAGCCCAAGTAGTAAATCGGATTATTTCGTAGCTCCTAAAACTGTGTCTTATACGATACTAGCAAGGAGTCCAACGTTTCGAATTATTGGTATGAAAAGAAACGTTACAGAAAGGTTACTCTATCTCAAAATAATTCTAAGGAACCATTTCGCCTCTGCAGCTTATGCAGATGGTCTTCATTTATCAACTCCGGGTACCAGAATCAAACCACAAAATCAGTCCGACTTTTTCAATTGAAAAGAGTAGAAGAAAATTGTTACTCCAGGCTTTTGAGTCGCATCTCTATTTTTCTTGAATCACCGAAAAAATGCTAAGGTAGCCTCATACTTTCCTTTTGGCAAGGAAATGCATCCTTCAAAACATTACCTTTTAAGAACCTCCAAAGAGGAAAAGTTACATCCGTTCAAACAATTTTGTCTTGAACTAAATTAAAATTTCATCCTTTTAGGAATAGGAATCATTATAAAACGACAAATTGAATATTAAGAAATAGATTTTTCAGAGGTTTCTTGGCTTATAAGACAGTGATATCTACTTAACATAATTATACCAATCAGCACACGTCAGCCTTAAAAAACAAAATATTCCTTCGTGTTATCCCGTATTTATTAGGTTATTTTTGAATAACTGTAACTTCATTTGAATGAGCATATATGAAAGAGCTTGTAAGAATTGAATGTAGGTCACCAAAATATTCCTCTTATCACAAACAGTAAATGACGCCATTCGAAACAAAGGCAAGGCCTTATGCTAACATAACCTTCGTATCCATATTTGCCTGAGTTTATTTAGAGAGATACGAGTGGTCACTTATTTCAGATCTAACCACTCGTCAAACAGAAAAAAACCTTAGCGCCAAAAGGAAACGGTGGTTTTATTATTTGTATTCTAAAATTTAACATTTTAAAATCTCATGATGATTTTAATGAAATATTGAAATTATAAGAAAATTAATGTTTTATCATTTTTGTTTCGGCACGTGATAAGAGTAACTACGCAGATTGTAATTTACTAGTAATTATGAAAGTAATATATATTTTGTTAGTTTTTAACTATAAATAACCATAAAATATTATAAATTAAATTTCAAATGCACACCTCTTCAGGTCAATTAAACGTTTCTGGGGATTAAATCACCCTGATGAGATTATCTATACTCTGTTTACGAAAAAAAATCTATTGTAATTTGTGATGTATCCAAAATAAAGTACACACACGTAATTATAACAAATGTTTTATTGTAACATTGTACTTTGTTACAATGTTTCGATGTATATTCTAGTATTAAATGTAGTCAGGCTGTTATATTATTGTATTAAATTTAGTCAGGCTGTACTTTGTCCTTTAATTTAAAGATTAGTTTTAACAATTGTATCAAATCTCTGCTAGTTTACAGATGACAGGGTAAGAAATTCCAAGTCCAATTTTCTAAATGTTCATCAGAAGTTGTTTACACACACTGCAGTCACTAGATACCAACGGGACACAATCCTGTTTTCGCTTCGCTTCGCTTGGCTTCGCTTGGCTTCGCTTGGCTTCGCTTGGCTTCGCTTGGCTTCGCTTGGCTTCGCTTGGCTTCGCTTCGCTTTGCTTTGCTTCGCCAGACGCTCAATCACTGTCGATCACTGCCTCTGACTGGGAGGTTCAAGGTTCAAGTCCCAACAGTGGCGAGATTTTCTATACCATCTTCTCAGCTAGGTCGAATTTAGTCACTGACTGGATGTGAGTTTCAGAGGCCGGCTGCTCTGATCATTAATTTTCCGTGGTTTCTCCGATCAACAATAGGAGAGTACCGGAGCAATACCCCACCAATCGGACCATGGCCCGTGCGGGATCTTTCCTTCCCATTCCTTGTCCTATCCTCGTCGCTTACACACACATACATACACACTTACATTTGCTACACTACAACGCATGTCGGGGGAGCAGTCGGGGAGCTTGTTCCGACTGGGGCGGTGCACCGCTGGTGGGAGATATCTGGTTGGAAGAAACCCCGTTAGATGATGGGAGGTGAAATGAAGTCGTAGGCTTCCGCGGCCAGAGTCATGTGCGTGATCTGGGATCTGACGTTTCGACCATCCTGACGCGGCGTCACCCGGACAGCCCACATCACCCACATGATGGTAGGTTGGCGCAGAATCTCGCCATCCATCCAGCAGGGGAATATTATTGACACCTCCCGAGGGAGGAAACGTGCACTGCACTTGCAGGAATAATGAACTCTGTAGTTAAAAAGGCAGGAATCTGGCACTTGCATGCCTGTTTGCCTTCATTGACAGTAGAAAGTTAAACATAAAACATAACGTAGCCACAAAAACATAACGTAGTACAAATGGGTTATTAAGTGAGACCATTCACAGTGCCTTGACGAAACCGAAGACGTAAATCCGTAAACGTAAGAGTTCACAAAGTAAAACAAGCTTTTACGTTAAGTTTACGTTGGAATTCTACCGACGACCAATCAGAAAACCGCATGAAAGAAACAAACCCGGATTGTGTTCAAGTAGTTTGTGTAATGTCATTTTCAATTTTTTTTACTGTAATTTTTTTTTTTGTTACTTTTTTTTTTCTGCTAGTTTGCGAACTGTTTTGACGCGACTAAAAAATTCGAAGTAAGAATTTGAGCCATTTTTCTTGTGATTTTAACTTGGCGTGGCGAATAAAATAATGACGTCCGACGAACCACTCGTGAATTTGGTACAAGAGAATCCTTGTTTATGAAGTATAGGAAATGCGAGCACTATTACAACAGCTACTAGCATTTTTATATAAAGACAAATCGATAGGAAAATCGAAGAGAAAGCTAGAAACCATGGTGGAAATGTCTTTTCACCGTGCTAGACGAACGTGCTAGCGAACGAATCGACAATCGATCAAGCGTCAATTTCTTGAAATCTGATTGGGTCAGGTGAAACTTACGTTCCCGCTACGTTTGTCATTGCGAATGCTATTTTTTTTTGCATGTAAATTTTAGTGCTAATTTTACGTCATTACGCTACGTTTACGTTTTGCTTTGTGAATGAGGCCTTAAAGATCGGGCGCCGCTGTTAGCCGAGGCCCGCTCCTCTGCATTGGCGTTGCTAGAGCGAGCCACGCGCTTTCTGCAACTCCAGCTGCCTTAGCAGCGCGCGCGCTGCCCGCGGCGAATTTAAATACTCGCCGCGCACATTATTCATAACAATCCCTTCTTTTCAGTTTCGATGATCGGTTGCACGATCATTGTCAACAACTACTACACATACCTGAAACTTCGAGACTCTTTGAAGAGGAAGGACGATGCTGTTTTTGAATGATCCACAAATGTCTTCAAACAAAAGAACAAAATACATATTAATTTTATCACCTCGGTACGAACTTCATGTATTCACATTGTTGTTATTTTTTCTTAAAATTATGTACTTGAATAAAAAAATAATAAACACAGTATCCATAATGGGCAAATTGAGGCATTGCAACTAGTCTGGAAATAAATAAATAAATAAATAGAACCCTTTTAGCTGATGTCTAAATTATTAAATAATACTATTCTTCTAATGTTTTAGGAGGAATTGCATTTTCTCTAATGATATTACGTACCTTTCAACATGAGCAAGAACGTACTTCATGCAGAAGTTTTCTGCAATGTACGTTCATTAAGATAATTCTGTTGTACTTACATATGCAATATTTTTTCTAGCACATCCATTAACTTAAGAAGGGCGTTGATCTCTGATTGAGTGCAAACCCTTGTGTGATATTACCTAGATATTCTAATCAATTATAAACTAAGAGATAAAATGTGAAGTACAATATCCTTTCTATTTTGCTCGTGAATTTACTGTCTCAATATGTCCTTAAAAGTAAGTGAGAACATATTTTACATATTTCATAAAATATAATATTGCCACAACACTCATCAGGTTTAGTTGGCAATACTTTTAATATAAGTGGAATTAAAATTTAGGTTGAATGTAAATAATGACATTAAGATCACAAGAAAATTCAGTAGAAATTATTGTATACATTTGATAACCATATATAATACTGAAAGTGAAAAATTATAAAGTGAAAAATATTATATACAGTTGACGAAAATAATAACATATTTTTTAAAAATTTCTATTGAACGTACTGAATATTTATATTTACATTTTTGAAATGTTTATATTGAAGACTTGTAACGACTTGCTATGGTTAATTACTTACGTACATTTTCAATACTTAATTAACGTAACAATAATTATTCAATACCTGATTTGTATATACTCAGTTTAAATAACTGTAAATTAACAAATAAAAAATAGTTGAACATTTACATCAATATATTTCTTCATAGTCAAACATTGACTGCGCTAGATTCCCCAATAAAAACATTCTGATTGGGCCGCGCCTGTAAAGTGTAAAAGGAGCATAGTGCTGGGGCAGAGCAAATGCTCTCTTAGGCAGCGAAGTCTCGATGGGCGAGGGAGATCTGTAATGATAGCTGGTGGTCAGTGAAATGTCTGCCCTATTCTTATTTAATATATTAAAAGGCGTCGAGAAATTGACAGTTTGTTTTTCAAAGAATCCATAATATTTACTTGCAATTAATCCAATGAAGACACTAAGAATGATAATTACATTATGTAGTATGTATTCATTCCTATGTAATTTCCTGGAAAATGTGTGTAAATATTGAAATTTCAAAAATATAATATAACAAACAGTTTCAATATACATCAATAAAATTTATTATCAATAAATAAGTAATAAATAAATAAATACACAATAAATAATGACAATAAATAAGTACAATTACATACATGACTCAAATTAAGGATACTTTGCAACATGCAAAAATTTGTATCCCGTACCTAACCCTTAAAAAGTGAAAAATGTTTGAATGTGTGATCGAGAAAACTTAAATTTTGTCGCACTCACACATTCAAAGCATTATTTTGTAGTCGTACGATAGTTTGACACCAAATTATAGTTTTGTTTGCAGTTTTAGGAAAGATCTGCAGTAATTCACTCAATTGAGGCAGAAACCAAGATAAACAGTACGGTGGAAGAAAGTGTTCAGAAAGAACAAAAAATGAAAAGAGAAAATTAGTTGACACAGTGAAGTGTTGTGACATATTCATATACTTACCATTCTCTCAATTTAGACTTTAAGTGTTCCTCCCCATAATCAAATTTTCAGTGTTTTAGAATAAAGTTTGCAAATGAAACAATAAGAGGAAAATAGAACAAGAGTTGAGAAAAATAGTTGGCCACTTTGTGTATCCACATTATCTCAATAGCAAAAGGCAGCAAACAAGTGCTTCATTAACTGATAAGGAGCGTGTCGGTTCATAGTAAGTAGATAAGAGTGAACAATCTAAAGCAGATTATTAGCATAGTCTGATGGCTGCACATATTGGATACCCGTCAGGATGACCCTCTGGTAGTATTTGCTGCTGTGACCTGTAAATAACTGCATCACGAAAAAGAGTAAACCACATTGAAATCCATTCGAAAATGACACAACAAGAAATTCCCTTGCACAAAATCAGTCACTATGAACACAGTATAATAAAATATGTTCTAACTATTGATTTTCTATACTAATTTGCATATAAATGTTCACTTAAGTTGGTAAGTCTGAAGTACAAGAAAGATGTCTTGAAGAGTTTGTCCTCGTCACCAGCTTCATTTGTAGGAAAGTTGTAAACAGTGCTTCCTGAAGAAGTCTCTGTCGCTCAGTTACATCACACAGTCTGCAAAACCTCCAGCTTCGTACGTCCCACGTAAGTAAAATCACTGTCACTAATTAGTCTCCTAAGTCTTTGTGGACAGTGGCGGTCACACAGTTTAAGTTGTAAGTTTAGTCAGCGTTCACATCAGGTTATTCTCTTGTCATTTTAAACCGCAACGTATTGAACTGCTTCAACATAATAAGAACTATCCTTTAACAGATATTTAAGTCCCAGTTACTGAATGTTCATAATAATCCCTTGAAAATTTGAAAGTACTTTTATTGTTTATACTCTCAACGAAAGAAAAATTTCGGTGGCATTTTTATACCATTGTGTTTTATGTAGTGAAGCAAATCTTACGTTTCCGGCACATAATTGTCGTAACAAACCAAGTTCCTTCCCAGGAATATGACACTTTGGTTGAGGTTGCCAAAAGCGAACTGCATCAAGGCTGACGATCAGTAGCTGGAGATTCTGCTTTGCCTCGTAGATGCTTTGCCTCGTAGATGCGATGATCTTGTCGAAAAGGAGGTGTATTGTGTGTTATTTTGTATATAACATACTTCATATCATTTTCATCGTAATCTGAGTAAAGGTTAGCATACAACAGAAAGAATGTGAGGTAATCATATTTTTCTCAACTAACTGAAAGTTTAACTATTTTACAATAAACGAAAGAATTTTAAGAGGAAATTGTTAAATTATTATCCTAATTATTTATTATAAACACATTTAATTATCAAAAAGAGGTATTTCTCATGTTATTTCTTATTTTGTCAATTATTGGTGAACAATAAAATCAATCAATTTAGTAATGAAATTAAGAAAACTACTTAAAACATTATCGAGAGTTTTAAGCGATTTTCTATATCGAAACCACCCATAAGCGAAAGAGTTTGTTAATTCTATAGCCAATATTGATGGTCTACTGATAGTTAACTGCAGACAAAAATACGATCAATGAGATGAACTCGAAGTTAAATGTAGTGTTGGACAAATCGAGACCACTGTGAGTAACCTAAAATTTCCTCTGTTCTTCCCTACAAAACTTATCATGGTGACGATTGAAGACAATATTCCTTGACTACTTAAAGAATAGTATAATTGAGCTTGTATCTTGATAAATACGTAGACTTTCTGGCCCAAATGAAGGCTAACCCGCGCGTGTTTCTTCGATCAAAGTGTGAGCACAGATGACCCATTTTCAGGTATGTGAAGTAAAAGTAACCGTAGTGTTTGCCTTACAATCACATTATCGACCCAACGGCAAAAAAAACGTGATTCAACGAAAAATAACTTTCTTATGTTTTGATCGTGATTAGAAATGCACGAGTCGACTGAAAACTGTTTTTGACAAACGTAATGTTGTGCCAATAACCACAATAATTACACCTCACACAAAGAGAACTGGGAAGATGTTTAATATTGTTTGTTTATAAAATGATAAATTTTGGAAGAAGAGATTTAAATGTGTATTCTATAACCACTATTAGTAACATAATAAATTATTTACGTTTATTATTTATTATTTGCGTTTGATGTATGTGTGTGTTGATTTGACAGAGTGGACGCGGTTACAAGTAACATACAATTTGATCCTCATTCAATATTTAAATTCGTTCGGACAATCACTTTCAGGTGAAACCACGGATGTGCAATTGGATAATAGAATCAGTTCATTGCATTACTTGTGGTTTCACACTACGCGCAAGCCGTGTAGTTTCGTGATGCGAGGTGGTCACAGCTCGATGTCCTTGGTTCTGTTCAGTTTCGACACATCCTATACAACCATAATCCGTTCTAATGGCCACTCAAAGTGATGCACGTTTTAATGTGTGTGTTTGTGTGTTGTTTTGAGTGTGTTATCGCAGTTAAAAGTTAAAAGTCACGTACAGTTTTGACCCTCGTTTAATATTTAAATTCGTTCGAACGGTCACTTTTAGAAAAGGCCACGGATGTGTAATTGGATAATAGAATCAGTTCAATGCATTACCTTGATTTCACACTAGCCGTGTAGTTTTCTGATGCGAGGTGGTCGTAACTCGATGTCGTTGATTCCGTTCAATTTTGACACACCCTGTACTATCACAATCCGCTCTAATGGCCACTCAGAGTGTGACGAACGCCGTCACTGCTTGACAGCCACTCGTCCACGCACGATGGGCCACCTGTGCTTCCACTCTGTGCGCGCGGCGTGTGTGTGTGTGCGAGTGTGTGTGGGGGTGGGGGAGGGGGGCGTGGTCACAGCTCGGTGTTGACGGTGCAGGCCGGGTAGAGGCGCAGGCAGTCCCGCTGCTCCTGACCGTCGCGCGCCGCCTGCACGTAGCGGTGGAAGCGCGCCACCGCCGAGTTCTGCACCGCCGGCTTCTGCAGCTCCGACGCGTCCCTGCGCACACCAGCACACCCACGTCAGACACGGGCACAACAGGTAGGTCAAGGCGTAGTAGGTCGTACACAGTGACACACTACGCCGTCACTCGAGAGTGGATTAGACCATGGCCACACATTCATTCAAGTCTCTGCGCACACCAGCACACCCACGTCAGACACGGGTACACCAGTCGTACTTTCAAGTCTCTGCTTACAACAGCACACCCACATCAGACATGAGCACAACGGACAGGTCAAGGCACCGCGCACACCGTCACACACTCCGCCGTCACTCAAGAGCGGAGTAGACAATCGTAAGACATTCATTCAAGGCCTGCGCACACCAGCACACCGCCGCCAGACACGGGCAAACCAGACACACATTCAAGTCTATGTGCACACCAGCACACCCTTCACCGTCACTCGAGTGTGGATTAGACAGTCGTAGGGCATTCATTCACGTCCCTGCGCACACCAGCACACCTTTATCAATCAAGAACACACCAGGCACACATTGAAGTTGCTGCGCACACCACCACATCAACATTAGTCATGGAAGCACCAAATATCTGCTCAAGCCTCTGCGCACAACAGCACACTGCCATCATTGAAGAGCGTATTAGACAATGGTAAGACATTCATTCAAATCTCTGTGGTCACCTGCTCACCTCTATTAGTCAAGAGCACACCAGGCATACATTCAAGTCTCTGCACACTCCATCAGACACAGACACACCATACATAAATGAAAATCTCTATACACACCATCACAGCTCTGTCAGCCATGAACATAGAGAACAAGATACGATTTCGGTTTTCTGCACACACTGCTCAGCCCGGAAAATGGTACAAAATTCATATAAGTTTCTGTGCACATCAACACAACGCTGTTCGCTCACAAATACAGAGAACAATGATAATAAAAATACTTAAAGTTTTTACGTACACCATCACACCGGTTTCAGTCAAAAACATAGTAAACAATAAGATATAAATTCATTCAGTATTCTGAAACACTGCACTCAGACAATTGTACGGCATGAATTAAAGTCGCTGCATTACAAGCACACGAGACAATGGTAAGACATTAATTGAAGTTTCGGTCCATACCAATACACCTATCATACCTACTGTGACCATTAAGATATTAATTCAATTGTCTACAGACACTGCGCTGAGAAAACGATACGATTAAGTTAAGAATTCAAGACGGCGCAAACCAACACACAGGTATACGTCTTATACGCGATTTCAGGCATAGCGATCACTGGTAAGACAATAATTAAAGATTTTGCGCACAGCAAAGCACATCATTATATCACGAGCTCAGCAGATCATGAATTGAACATGAAGTTTTTGCACTCGCCAACTCACAACAATAAGGCACGGGCTCAGCATAAAATGGTAAGCTATGAGTTCTAATCTGCGAGCACCAACTCATCGCGCTCAATGACACATCAAACATATTGTAAGGCCAAAATTCAGTATCTGCACACAGTAATCATTTACCACAGTCACCGACACTGCATTAAAGCGTACGACCCGAATTCACGTCCCTACTTATGAACATGTTGCGCTTAGACACCACCTCATTATATAATAAAAAATCGTGAATTGATGTCCCTGCTCATACAAGGTAAACGAAGCTCAGTCAATGAGTACGTCAGTGATTTTTAAGACATAAATTAAAGTTTCGGCGCACACCAGCCATACCACACATTATCGGGAGTCGCAATAAATTCCAATACAAATTATGGACTAGACCTGAGCAAATCATCGTCAAAGGGCATAATTTATAATGGTATAACGATTTCTCTAGTCCCATGCGCCCACTACGGACATAAAGTACAATATAGTATGGTACAATGACTATTCTGAAAGCATTGTACACATCAACCTCACATATACTCACTATACATTGTTACTTTTATTATTATTATTGTTATAATTATTATCGTCATGATCCTTACACAGTGAAGTGATGTGAAGTGTAGTGTAGCGTAGTGCGGGGAAGGGAGTGTAGTGTATTGAAGGGGAGTGCAGTGTAGTGTAGTGTAGTGTAGTGAAGTGTTATGTAAACTAGAAGTGAATTTAGAGTTAGCTAGAAATAAATTGGAACTGTTATATAGACCCCTAATTCTAATACTGAACCCAACTGTAAATGTTGAAAATGTTTAGTAATTCCAATTTTAATTGTTATCATGTTTGCCACCGAGCATTAGCTCAAAGCAAACTTTAATAAATCTATCTATACACATCGGGACACCAGTCCGGAGCTTAGAATGTGTCGGGTGGAGTCTTACTGGAAAAGATGCCTGGAGGAAGACAAATCATCTAGCAAATATGTGCGACGGCGACTTATTTCGCATTTCAGCGAGGAAGAAAAACAGCCATCTTCCCGGATGCAACATTCTCTATTCTAACGGAACTAATGATCATAGCAGATGACGTATCCAGAAACATTGACGAATCAATCAATATAATGAATGGAACTAGAAATTCTACTGCATCACTACTGCACGCTTGGCAATTACTATTACAGTTTTGACATCATACAATTTATTTAATATCAAATATCACATTCTGAGAATGTTATTTCACTAAAACAATATACCCTACTTCAAATCCTTTGTTTGATTTGTGAATTTAAAATTAATATTTTGATTCAAAGTTTTGAGTTCATTTGATTTATTTTTGTTAAGACATTTTTAGAAACGTTAATAGACTTTTTGCTCATTAGGAATATTCAAATAACACTTATTTGCTTCGTCAAACGTACTACTGATTGCAAACAAAATATCATCACGCCAGCTCTATTCGTACCGAAACTAGCAAAAGAAGAGGTCAATCTAAAATGTGCATTGTGAAATACATTTGTGTCGACAAGTTGTAGTTTATTTATTCGCTATTAAATTATAGTGAATTATCTCAAACAAGGGACAATAATCCAAGAAATGATATTGTTAAGGCGGCGAAATAGTCTAAGAACAGTTGGGAGAGCATTTTAAGAAGCTGCAACGAAACATCACCTCTTCTATTTTTTTGTCAGACAACAGTGTTCTGGAAAAGAGACGACACACAATTGACAAAGATTTTTACTTGGAGAAAGAATTTCGTGATGTTTTGCTTCATGTTTCTACTGCATCCAGTGCCTGTCACACCCTGGATCGAACCTTGAAGACGTTCAAAACGCCTTTACTCAGCTTTCGGCATTAGCTTGTGGTGACAATGCGAGCAGGCGTCTTATATAGAAAATTAGTGATTCCTAGTTTTCCGACAAAGCCGATTTTACGCGGGGCTGCCCAGGAGCTGGTGCGATATTTCGGTGACGCTCCGAACTAATAGAAAGCAGTTGACAATCGACTTCAAGGAACTTTGTACGAAGAAATGAACGTTTAATCAATAGAGAAGAAGTTTGCGCGGCTTTTTGGGAAAAATTAAGATCTTGGAGGCACCAAGTTTAAAATATATAATACTTTTCTCTGAAACGCCTTCAAAGAACATCAAACGCTCTGTTGAAAAAAACAAGGCGCCAAATTTGAAGTAATTTGGCCGGCAATGTGCTAACAGGTATCATCAAAAGGTATTGAATGGTCACGTGCATAACTGACACACAACCGAGACGTATTTTAAATTCCAATTCCTTTACGGACTGCGAATTTCCTCATTAGCCAGTCGTGTGTTCCGGCCTGGCATGTTTGCGGATCAATGATTAACGGGAGAGACACATTGCATGCAAAATCGGGGCCAATAAAGCTACAGAGGCGGAGAGACGGGTAGAGGCACAGGACACGTTCATCTGGATTCTAATGGCCCGTGGCTCAGGAATCGGCTTAGGTTGCTTCAGGGGAACAGATTCCGAAATAGACGTACGGGCGGGAACAGAGATCATTCGTGTTGCCAAAAAGTAAAGTGCTCTTGTAAAAATGTAAATTGCAAGATGTATCTCCATTTTTCTACATCTATCTGTCTCTTTCCGTTTGCACCTCCATACAAATAAAACAAACTTGACTGATATATGTTTCTCAAAATATATTTTTGCAAATCAATTTGCTGCTGTGTCGTGTGTAGTTACTGACCCTCGGCTCATGCTTCGTACATTTTATAAATATTAGTGGCTTTGTAATAGGCGAAAATGAACCGAAAGTTTGTCGGTGTCCATTTTGTGAAGTTGAGTATTTGTGACCTTAAATTCAACCCGAACGAGCGCATTTTTTTAAAGAACACTTGTCGATGATTTTTGTCGTACAACAGATTGTGCCAGTAGATTATTGAAATAAATGATAACAGAAACAGAGGTGAGATTCTTGGACTCCGTAATTCTACTTAGTACTATAAATTGGTAATTATACTCTTCAGTGCAATGGCGACTTTCCAAGCTCTACAGCAACGTTTACAAAATTGTCGGCACGAACACATCATTCTTTTGCGTCATTGGTCATTGTATATGCGTCATTAAAACATCTATATCTTCGCCGGCAACTTTGCACGTCTAGCAGGTGCTTATAGGGCTGCAAAAGTACGTGAATGGCAAGTGTTACAACGACAGGACATTGCTATATCGGGGCTCGGAGCACGACCTTAGGGCCGGTTAACGCTACTGCTCAACTTCGTGGACTACCTGTCGCGTCGTTCATTGGCTCAGAGTGACCTGTGCGAACTACTCAAATGTCGAATGCCCTCAAACGTCAATATCTAAATTTCTCCATCTGGATTGAGAAAATGCCTTTGTTTTGCTTTAGGACACTAATGTAGTTTTACTGTCTATAATAATTGTACTAGATGAATCTCGTGAATTCAGCGAAGAGTTATTTAAATAGTCATTTTTTATGCATCTACATTTGAGGCACTGCAAGCAGGCTGAATAACACTATTTTACAGAGATTTAAATCAAAAACAGTTAGAATGTTTGCTGCATAACCACGGAATATCTCAAATACAATGCTACACAGTGACTTAAAAGTACCGGCATTCTTTGAAAGAAACAAAACCTGCAGCTCAAGTTATCTTCAAGGT